AAAGCAAAGGCTGCTAACGGTGGTGACATCAAGATGCTTGGAAGGTTCAACGGACGACTAAAATTGCACGGTAGGCAAAGCACCGGCACGATTTATGTTTCAGCTCGAAACCTGAATCTTCTTGGCACTGACTGGATGGAAGCTCTCGGTCTATGGGATGTGCCCATCTCAGCCGTGTGCAGCAAAGTTGCCACCGCCAGCACTCCGTTGGAAGAAGAAGTAAAGTCGAAGTTTCCCTCACTGTTCGACTCATCGCTTGGATTGTGTAATAAGATGAAGGCATCGCTTACACTCAAGGTAGGAGCTCAGCCAGTCTTCAGGAAGAAACGCCCGGTCCCATTCGCAGCGGCCGCCCAAATTGAAAGCGAGCTCAAAAGGCTGCAACTGTTGGGAGTCATCGAACCGGTCACGACCTCGGAATACGCAGCTCCGTTAGTCGCCGTCAAAAAAAGGGACGGCCGTGTCAGAATCTGTGCAGATTACTCAACAGGACTCAACGATGCATTGGAATCGAACCAGTATCCATTACCAGTACACGAGGAAATTTTCGCCAACATCGCGCCGTTCAAACTTTTCTCTAAGGTCGATTTATCAGATGCTTTTTTGCAAATCGAGCTCGATGACAACGCCAAAAAGATGATGACCATCAATACTCACCTGGGACTGTTCCAGGTAAACCGCTTGCAACCCGGGGTGAAGACAGCTCCAGGCATCTTCCAGAAACTCATCGACGAAATGCTCAAGGGAGCCAAGGGAGCTTTCGCTTTCATCGATGATATTATCGTGGGTGGAACCGACAGCGCAGATCACCGAAGGAATCTCATGGAAGTCTTGAAGAGACTGCAAGATTACGGTTTCCATCTTCGAATCGACAAGTGTTTGTTCGCCCAGAAGAAGCTGGAATTTTTGGGCCTGATCATCAGCGAAGATGGTTTGAAACCGAGCACAGAAAAGATCGAGCTACTGCGCAACATCCCATCACCAATAAACGTTCAACAGCTTCAGTCGTTCTTGGGAGCCGTTACCTGGTATGGAAAATTCTTACCCAGCGTAAAAGATTTGCGGGGACCTCTAGACGAATTGTTGTGCAAAGAAGTAAAATTCGAGTGGAAGATGGTTCACCAAAAGGCTTTCGAGAAGCTAAAGGAAGCCTTGTCGTCCGACCTGGCATTGACCTATTACGATCCGAAGAAGAAGATCATCGTCGCGGCGGACGCATCAAGCTATGGCATGGGGGCAGTAATCATGCACGAGTTGAACGACGGAACACTTAAGCCCATCATGCACGCCGCACGATCGTTCAACAGCACAGAGAAAAACTATCCGCAAGTTCAGCGTGAAGCATTGGCATTGACATTTGCTGTCTCAAAATTTCACCGGTACATTTACGGCCGCGCCTTTGAGCTGCACACGGATCACAAACCATTATTAGCAATTTTTGGTTCAAAGAAAGGAATCCCGGTCCACACCGCCAGTCGTCTCCAAAGATATGCGCTCATCCTACTGGCTTACGACTTCACAATTAAGTATATCAACACGAAGAGCTTCGCTTATGCCGACTTCGTCTCACGTCTCATTGCCAATCACTGCAAGGTTAAGGAAGACGTCGTCATCGGAAGTATTGGGAACGTAAAGATCAACGCACAGTCGCACCTCTCTGACAGGTCGAACGAGAAAAAACCCAAAGACGATTATGAAGATACAATCTGTTTTGCAATCGACACTGCCCATACTCTGCCAGTCACTTTCCAAATTCTGAAGGAAGAAACAGGAAATTGTGCAACGCTGAAAATTGTAGCACAATACATCGAACAGGGGTGGCCTGAAACGATCAAAAAATTCACTAACCCTGAAGCCGCAAAATTCTTTACAAGCAAAGATTCACTTACAGTCATCGATGGCTGCATATTTTTCGGCGACCGCATCGTCGTTCCCACTCGATTGCGCAAGCAGATCCTCTGCGAGTTGCATCAAGGACATCCCGGCACCGCTCGCATGAGGCTGCTTGCAAAAAGCAAAGTTTTCTGGCCAAAGCTTGATGTCGACATCCAGGAGCTTGTACGACGTTGTAAGAATTGCGCAACAAACGACAAAACACCGACGAAGTGCACGTTGCAATCCTGGCCGATCCCGCAGGGTCCATGGTCAAGAGTACATGTCGACTACGCGGGTCCCATCAATGACTTCATGTATTTGGTAGTCGTTGACGCATTTAGCAACTGGCCGGAGGTATTCAAGATGACAACAACGACATCAGCAAAGACAATCGATCGACTCGAAGAAGCAATCGCACGACATGGCTTGATGGACACTCTGGTTAGCGACAACGGACCACAGTTTGTTTCCGATGAGTTCGAATCCTTCGTC